CACCAGCTCGTTTTAAGTTCTTGTAGCTTACTCTGCGTCTCATCCTAACTTTGTTCCTCCTTTTCATCCTCTTGTTTCCAACCTTTCATCCTTCCCCCCGCTGTGAAGCACCTGCTTCGACCAGCTCGTGTGGTTTGGTTTTCAGAACAAACAGGAGGAGTTTAGAAAGAATGGCGGCTCCTCTGAAGGCTGGCAAGAATGGAGTCTGAATGAATAATATGGTGGATGATAGCTGCATAACAACTCAGAACAATAGGTTTAATCATGCAAAGTGCAGAATCTTCATAGAGGCATGCTGCCACCTGCTGGTCAGCACAAACATGGTTCATGCATTCAGAAATGCACATTTAGCTGCTGGTGGATATTTCCAGGGAAATGAAACCATTTCCCCTCCTTGTTCTTTAACTAATATTGTCACGCGTTCATACAATTTAGATTAGATTGCTTTCCTTCCTCCACAGTGGCAGGAGCCGATCCTTATATTCCAGCCCAGATGCCCGGAAGCGGCATGCAGGACATGTACGGTCGACCCCCATCAGCCCTGAGCATGAGCCAAAGGTCGCAGTACCCGTACGGGCCGGGCTACGACAGGAGGTAAAAAACACAAAGCAGGGGAATCAGTTTGCTCTTATTTATTGTGTCCTGAACGTCGAGCCGTGGTGTACTGCACAGCATCAGTAAAGCATGTCCTGCTGTCTTTAGGCCGGACCATATGATGGGGATGGAGGGGAGCATGGGCCCCCCTGGGAGTCAGAACAACATGGGACCTTCGAACAGTGAGGGCAGCATGTACTCGCCCAGCAGATATTCGTCACAGCACAGGTCAGCGCTCTCCTACGTGTCTCCAGCCTCTCTGGAGGCCTGTAACCATCAGTGAGTGATCCTCTCTTTCCCCTCTGTCCTCTGCTTCAGACACGACGGCTACGGTCAGCAGTATTCCAGCATGCCGTACGGGATGCATCCATCTGGGATGTACCCGCAGCAGCAGGTGAGACGGCTCATCACGGCGCTCTCAGTCATACCTGCTGTAAACAAGACATTTGATTAGAGTGTCAAATCTCAGCCCAGAGATAATAAATTAATAAGATAACAGCTCAGTGGGTGGGATGTGTTTGTGACTGTGGTTGTTTCTTGTTGTCATGATGATCACAATCAATTTCTGCTTTTCTGAACCATCAGATGAAGTGAAGCAGAGCGATGATTGCTTGTTTTGAGTCGTTCCTGATAATGACCCTCGTGAATGCGCCCAATCAATGGTCCTCTCTCGCACGTCGTTTGTCAAACTGAAGATTATTAGCGACGTAATTATGGTATCGAGTAGAACCGTTTCTTTGTGTCTCGGAGGAAAGTGGTGTGAGGTAATTGGCCATTAGGTGACCGCTCTGAGCAGAAGCCATCGCGTGTTTTTGCGGCGTCCTGCTGCGTTTCTGCCACACGAGCGTGGTTTCAGATTTAGTTCACAACTATTTCAGAGTCTTTGATAGATCGGCGGCGCTCCCGGCTGCAGACGTAATGGAGCCTCGCAGTAAAATAATTATGGTAATGGCAGTACGAGCCGCACGCCACACCTCTCGCCCACTGACAGGTGGATGTGAAGAAAAATGCTCTTGTGAGCTTCGCGTGCACGTCTCATGCTTTCATCGTGTGATTGCTTTTTGTTAAGCGTCGTCGCTAACGATCTCCCCGTTGCTTCAGCAGGGCTACAAGCGTCCGCTGGATGGGATGTACGGCCCCCCGCCGAAGAGACACGAGGGCGACATGTACGCCATGCAGTACACCAACCAGCAGCCGGACATGTACAACCACTACGGCAGCGGTTACTCCGAACACAGACCGCTCCAGGGACAGTTCCCCTACCCGTACCCCCGCGACCGCATGGCGCCCTCGGGCCAGAGCCAGCACAGTATGCTGGGTGGGGGCCCCCCTCCTAATCACGCTGCCGACGGGCCCAACATGTGGCCTTCGAGGACAGACCTCGGCTACCCCTACCCCAGCAGGCCGGGATCACAGATGCCCCCGTACGGCTCGATAGGCAGAGACGACATGGACGGGCGGCCCGGGCCGGAGCAGTGGCACCGCCAGTCTCCGTACATGTCATCATCAGGCGGCATGCCCCCCCTGTCCTCGCGCCAGCCGTCGTCTTATTCCAACTCCCCGTCCATGGCCAACCACCTGCCCAGAGCGCCGAGCCCAGGGGCCTTCCAGCGCTCCATGGACTCTCGAATGTCGCCCAGCAAAGCGCCGTTCATGTCCCCCATGAAGATGCCTAAACCCGGCCTGGCCATGATGGGATCGCAGGGCGGCGGACCCATCGGCCAGTTTCCTCCTAATCTGAGGAGGGACCTCAACTACCCACCGGGCTCAGTGGAGGGCACCCTGCCGCTTCTCAAGCCTCGACGCAAGCTAACATCCAAGGACAGCGGTAAGATCGTTTTTAGCTTCTCAGCAACAACATGTTTGCAGCTTGTTTAATCCTGGTTCTTCTCCGGTGGAAAGTTGTAGTTTTCCGTGTTTCCCAGCTGTAAAACAACGGTGTTTTAGCTCCCCATCGCTGCACCGGCTCATCGTCAGCTAACAGTAGCACAACATGAGGCAAATTTTATCAAAGAAATTAAACCATCTACTTTGGTTAGCGTCCCTCTTTATCTTCAGGACGTTTGATTGCCAGTTTTGTTCTTCCTGGTTCCAAAAATCACACTGTTTCAATCCCAGGAACGCCTGAGGCCTGGCGCGTGATGATGTCTCTGAAGTCTGGCCTGCTGGCAGAGAGCACGTGGGCGCTCGATACCATCAATATCCTGCTGTACGATGACAGCACGGTGGCCTCCTTTAACCTCTCCCAGGTAAAACCGACCCAAGAACAGAGCCCGTCTTTATCCTCATCTTCTAGATCCTGTTTTTCTTTTGCAATAAAACTCCACGAGAGTCAAGTTAGTTATGCACCTCTGAGGTTTTGCAGTATTATATCTACTCGTCTGACTTCTTTCTGCTCAGCATTGATTGTATTTTTCTCTGTGCAGTTGCCTGGATTCCTCGAGCTCATCGTCGAGTACTTCCGCCGTTGCTTGATTGAGATCTTTGGCATCCTGGAAGAGTTTGAGGTGGGGACTAAGAAACGCTCCTCAAGTCCAGCGTCTGCACAGAAAGAAAGACCTGAGCGGGATTCCGGCTCTCCTGTCCAGCCCGAGCTCTCCAAAGCCGAGGAGACCCAGGTGGAGCGTGCCGAGGGCGTCGCCGAGGACGTGACACCTGCTGCTGCGGAGCCGGCCAAGGTGAACGGCGAAACAGAGGAGTCCAACATGAGCGTTAGCAGGGAGGACAAGAGTGGAGGAGATGGTGAGAAGGAGGGAAGAGAAGAAGAAGAGGAGGCAGCAGAGTGTGAAGCAGAGATGGTGGATCGGCCTGTAGCAGAGGCGGAGCATAAACCCAAACAAGCCAGCAAATACGACAAGTTCCCCATCAAGATTGTTCACAAAGAGGACCTGAGCGACGACATGTCCGGTTACCTCACAGAGTTTACCAGCGGGCTGCTGCACTGGCAGGCGGGTGGAGGCGACTCCACGGCGCACATTCAGACACACTTCGAACCCCGGAGCGAAGCGCCCGAGGACGAAGGCGGGAGAAACAAGAGCCAACAGACGGACCACGAAAAGAAGCAACCCCCGAAACACATCACCGCGACTATCGACGACGTTCTGTGCGCCCGCGTCGACGCCCTCGCTTACGGCCACCCCGCGCGCTCTTTGCCCTCTTACCCCTTCAGGGTGCACCCCGATGGGGAGGAGGACCACATCACCCTGCTGGAGGATGAGCCACGCTGCCTGGACGAGGCTCCGCTCACCACCACGTCTGCCTGGCAGGACTCGCTGTCCAAGCGGTGCACCTGCGTCTCCAACGTCGTCCGGAGTCTGTCCTTTATCCCGGGGAATGACTTGGACATGTCCCGCCACCCTGCTCTGGTTCTCCTGCTGGGCAGGCTGCTCCTGCTGCACCACGTGCACCCCGAGAGGAACAGGTTACCTCCCAGCTTCCAAAGAGACGAGCAGCAGGAGCGGGGGCTGTCGAGCAGTAAGGACGAGTGGTGGTGGGAGTGTCTGAGTCTGCTCAGGGAGAACGCCATGGTCACTCTGGCCAACATCGCCGGCCAGTTGGATCTCTCCACTTACCCGGATACCATCTGCCTTCCCATCCTGGACGGCCTCCTCCACTGGATGGTTTGCCCCTCGACCGAAGCCCAGGACCCCTTTCCGTCGGCAGGCCCGCATTCCCAGCTCACCCCCCAGAGGCTGGTGCTGGAATGCCTCTGCAAGCTGAGCATCCAGGAGGGCAACGTGGACCTGCTGCTGGCGACGCCGCCGTTCAGCCGACAGGAGAAACTGTTCACGGTCCTGGTGCGCTACGTGGGTCAGAGGAAGGCCCAGGTGTACAGGGAGATGGCGGTGGCTGTGCTCTCCCACCTGGCACAGGGAGACCCCACAGCGGCGCGTGCCATAGCCATGCAGAAGGGCAGCGTGGGTAACCTGGTAGTTTTCTTGGAGGACGGCGTTAGCATGGCGCAGTATCAGCAGAACCCTCACAGCCTGCTGCACATGGGCCACCCTCCCATGGACCCGCCCAGTATAAACATGATGTGCAGAGCAGCTAAAGGCCTGCTGGCTATGGCCAAAGTGCACGAGAACAAGAAAGAGTTCGTACTGTATGAAAGCAGATTATTAGACATCTCCATCTCCTCGGTGCTCAATGTGGGAGTGGTTGCCATTATTTGCCAAGTCCTGTTTCACTTGGGGAAGTTATGACATGAGGAGAGGCGGGACTGGCGCGGCACACGCTGAGGCTATTTCTGTGGTTTTTCTATTTTTATTTATTAAAATGACAGAAAATGTTTGTGTTTTTTTAAAAGAAGTATCCACATAAACAAAATGTCTCTATCTATATACATATATATATATATGTATAGCTTCTGGGCGATGTCGGGATTTGAAAGCTCGTTTTAATACAAATATTTAATACCTGCTGGTGTCGGATTGCTGCGTTTGGTTTGGCATTCTCTTTTTTTCTTCCTTCGTTTACGTTTTCAGCCAAAGCTGCCACCAGATCTTGGTGCTCAATTCTGTGGTTCCTTTCGAGTCGATGAGATGTTTTTCAGTTTTATAAACGCCGATATGCTCATCAACTTTTTGTTAATGGAGAGTATTTATTTAAAATGTGACACTGTACAGTAGTTTGAACTTTTTGCCAACAGCGGTGGAGGAAAAAAACACAAAGAAAACACTGAGTTTTTAAACGGAAACGTCTCCATCGCTGGAACATATGTTGTGCAATAGGACTTGGAGCAAGTTGTCCCTTTGAAAACCAGAGGATGTAAAAGCTTCTGACGCCTGCAGTGTGCGCTCACGGCCACGAGGAGGCAGCATTGCACCAGCCAATCGACATCAGAGAAGCGTCTAATTTATCAATCATAGCCTCAATGACTTTCACAGATGAACTTTGTGTTTCCTGATCACTTGTGTTATGTCTGTATTTTTTCATCACTGTGTATATAAACCGTTGTACACACGATTCTTTCGGTCTTTATCTAGCATAGCAGGAGACGGGACTTTCTGACTATTATAACAAATGCTTTTATTGTTGGTAAATTTGGTATTGTTATTATACATATTTTGTTAATGGGGTCAAATATTTGAACATGGCAGATGTATCTGATGTTTCACCGTTCAAAAAAAACACACAAAAACAACAAAAAAAGAAGAAAAAAAAATCCTGTACGCGTTGTATTATAGCTGAGAAAACAATCGCTTTGGTAACGAAACGTGGAAGTGCCGGGGTGAGGGGGTGACTGTGGAGACGCCATGCGAGGGAACCGAACATGTTTCTGTTTGTTCATGTCCTGCGTTCATGTCAGTGGGCATATTTTTGAATCTACACGATGCTCGAAAACAAAACACGTGAAAAGATCAAAACATCCTGAAAGCTCATTGTAAAAAATGCCTTTTTTCATATGACTCCTGTCTTTTATTCAGTATACACATTTATACTCTGTGCTGCACATGTCACAAATAAATGTACGATGAACATCGTTAAGCACTGGAGACGTTGCATTATGTCCAGACAATCTTAGGCCAATAAAACAAACATCAACTGCTTACGTGGGCTGTCTTTTATTGGCTGCGGCACAGATTCACAAAGGTGCTGGAAACATCTGAGTTTGGTCCGAGCTGAGATGATATTCCTGCAGATTTGTCTTTTGCATCCGTAGCGAGAATCCCCCGTTGATTCTGTTGGATTGACATCTGGACACTGTGGAGGCCGTTTGAGTGCAGTGAACTCAACAAACCAGTTTGAGAGGATTTGAGCTTCATGGTGTGTAGATGATGGTAGACTGGTCTAAAGGGACGGGCGTTGCTCGGGGAGGCTGTGGAGCTTTAACGATGCTCAGCTGGTGCTCAAAAATATCCCCACATCGTCACACCCCCACCATCCTGTCCTTGTAATGATCAGCTGTTGGTAGGAGGCAGGATGGATCCATGCTTCTGCTTGTTTACATCAAACTCTGACTCTAATCCGAATGTTGCAGCAGAGAAAGACTCATCGGATCCCGAAACGTTGTTCCATCGTCTGTCGTCCAGTTTTGGCGAGCCTGTGTGAATTGTAGCTCCAGTTCTCCTCTGACACCAACAAGGATTTTCTCCTGGAGAGCTGCTGCTCACTGGGTTTTCATGTGAACCATAGTTGTTTGGGAAAGTCCAGCAGATCAGTCCGCCTGGCTCCAACAACCTCACCACATTCAGAACACCTCAGCGGCTCGTCTTCACCACCTCTATGAGGTGCAGCCATGTGATTGGCTGATTACATATTTGTGTTAATGCAAAAATATCCAATGGTTTCCCTCAAAGTGTATAAGTGAGCAGGTGATAAGTTGCTGTTGGGAAGCGTAAACAGCAGAATGTGATGATTCTCCTGAAAGCTGATGTTCCTTGGACAACGTTACCAACTGTACATCAGCAGCTCTCAGGCTGTCTGACGCAGGTCTTGGCATCAGTCCCGCCCTTCAGTTAGAGTCAGATTTTATTGTGTCATGGATCGTCTCACTCTTCAGGCGCTGCAGAAGCACCAGCTCTCAGATTCACTGGACTCAAAGCCGTCGCTTTAAAGCCAAACTAATGTCCTCCAGAGACGTCACCTCACAGCCTCGATCCGGTAAACATGCAAGTATTAATATCAAGGAGAAAGTGTACTACTGGGTGCCATGAGAACAGTTGTATTACTCCGTCTGGACGTTTCCTCATAGCCGTGGAGAAAAGACAGCTGTTTGTCTTTGTCCTTTATTGTGGTTTGTTTGTTTTCCACTAAGTTCTCATATTTGTCCTGGCTATGTGCTGTCACGTTGTTGTTTAGCACAACTGAGGTCCTGGATGAAGGTGTTACAGCCCAAACAGATCTATCGAGCAGTGGCTGCACTGAAAATCAGGCCTGTTGGCACCATGCAGGGTTTAGCTCAGTTATTTGAACCCATTTTCTTAGTTAACTCTGCTAATTGTGATTAAAAATATTCTGTTTTTGTGCTGCACACTTAGATCAATGGAGCATGGGAGGTACAGCTACCCCGTCTCTTTGCTGCTGCTTCCCATCTGTTACACACATTACTCCCTCGCTTTCAGAAAGCCTCCATAATTAACAGTTTCACTCATTTTGGTTTCATTTATTTTACAGTTCGCTTTGGAATTAGTTCATTAAAATGTGCAAAATTAACCAGCACAGTTAAATCAAAGAACTGAGCTGGATTTAGATTTGTAGCATCTGAAGAAGTCTTTTTAGAGATGGAGTTATATTTATTCTAATCTGCTCTCAGAGGAGGAACACTGAGCTCATAAAACCTTACATATGTGCATATCATCATCATAGTTTAGTCCGACAGTATAAGGAACAGTCACTCTGTGCTTCCTGTTTTCAAGCTTTTCACATTAAAACACAGTTTGTGTTTGACCTTAAACATCTCGAGCTTTACAAGCTTTTACTTTACGTCTCAATCTTACATCAAAGATGATAATGTTGTGACGAATGATGGAAAGCTCATTTCTCATCCTCTCCAGAAATCTGCTAATCTGCTGTTTCATTAATCATCACAGGTTATAAAGGTTCCTCTGTTAATGAAGACACGCACATGTGCAAACACGATCATCAGAAGCGCTTTTAGGAGCAGAAACTCATGACTGATGCACTCTGTGTACCCCCTGACTTTAATGCGTCCTCTTGCAGCGTTTCCAAGAAGGACACAAACCATCAGGCACTCATCTATCCCAGGGTGTTTGAGTTTTTACTGAATAGTCTACAGTTTGTTTGGTGTTTTCTCTTTTTTGTGTCTCCCCAGTGTCGTTACTTCCTCTTTAGTTGGAATTTGACGTCTCTCTCGTCTTCCTTTGCCAGGGGAAACATGGGCATGAAATCAAGTCCTATTTTAAGCTGATTTTAATAATAACATTCCTGAGGTTAACAACAGCCGATAAGTGGTCCCATCACAGGTTTGGCTCATCTTTGTCTTATTTAACTCTTACTGACACTTTGAAGTGAATGACAGCCGGCCTGAGACGTGCTTAACAGTTTGATCTCTAACTGAAGGTAGTTTCTGCAGAGAAAGAAAAGACTGATATGCTTCTGAGCGCATCTTACAGGTACACACCTGCACATTATAAATAGCGCCCACATACTTCAGAGTGTTTTTGATTTCAGGCCGTCATTCAGAGTTTGCAGGGAAAGTGGGCTGCTGTACTTTTTTGGTGATGGAGGATGTGTTTCACGTAGGCAGCCAAGCGCAGGAGAAAACCTCCCACTCTCCCGTGCCTCTGAAAAGCTGAGTCACTGAGCTCTGACAGGATGGATGTGGTGGCCGGGAGGAAACCGAGCCTGTCATTGGCTACCGCTGGCTGGGGTCCGCTGCCTCGCTGCCTCTCGCTGCTCTTGTAGGTAGATTAATGAGCGCTGGGTGGAAACAAAGCAGACAGGACTGACCTTTCTAGTGATGTGCTACAGTACACGTAAGGCAGCAGTGATGAGTCAGGTTTGACTTCATCCTGTAATTTTGACTATAGAGAGTATATTAGCCCCCTGATGAGGCTTTGATCTCGCCGTGTTCTTTCATCCAGTCCAGCTTTTTAAACTGAATACTGTCTGCACGAGGCCTTGGCAGGATGTAAGTCAAGCCTATGTTGTTCTTGGACTCTGACTCAAGGGGCCTATCATGTCCACCCGTTTGCCAACACAAACACGGCTCCTGCCGTATGTCATCGGGCTGCTTAACGAGCTCCGTGGTTAAAGAATTAGTCTGCAGGCCGTACAGATCGTTAGCAGCCATTACAAACACCCACAGCTTTGCAGCAGATCAAGTGTGGCATGTGCCGCTTGGTGGATTCACACGGCCGGTGGTGGAAGCTTTGCAGATGCATGACGGAAGCATGTCGCAGCAGGGTAAAAGACCACACCGTGGCTGCTCACTGTGCACTCACACGGGGGGAGGGGGCGTGTTAAACCTACAGCCTGAGACCGGCATGGCTAACACGAAACCCAGCCTTCACATCAAAAATGCATTTGCAGGCTAGAAAAGTGCTACGAGAACACACAGTTTCCCTCTTTGCGTGGCGTTTGATTCTGGCCAATTAAGTCTTCTCACATTAGAGGAAAAGCAGCAGAGCTCCTTTCAGAGAAAGTGGATAATTGCAGCCAATGACTGATGATGAGGAGGTGTGTGTGTGTGAGGGGAGCATGGATGGCAGAAGAACTGTGGGCTGATGATGAAATCATCTGTACTAATCTAGCCGAACAGGAAATTGCATCACAGCTGAACTGCACTTGGCATCTCAGCAAGTTATGTGCAGCATGGCCGCCTGTTTTCAGTAGAAACAGTAAATATGAGCAGTGGTGGCTCCATTTAACAATTTCCTCTCAGCAAATGTTTGTTGCATCTGTCTTCAGCGCTCGTCCTTCCTGGTTAACCTGCGTGTTAGGACGTTTCTGAGGACATGTAGGACATTTTTGAAGGTTGACGTCTCTGCAGGTGAGGACTATAAAGAGACCTTCAACCTACTATCTGGAGTTTGCTGGAGGACACTTAAACCTGTGACACACAATATTTCACTGACTTACTGACCGTTTTATTAGAGTTGGCTGAAATCATCAGTGTAATATGAGAACCTTAATATCAATGGTCTGTGTTATATGCACTGCATGTATGAATGATTGTCTCACCCTGCAGCTGCGCAAACGACCAGAACACGTTTAACTGACTGGAACTGCAGCAAAGTAATAACACAGTGAATATGAAGTGACTTTAAATAAAAGCTGCTTCAGCTGTGCTGTCATCAGTTTTAAAGAAACAGTCGTGATAGAAATCTATGGAGAAACTTTCTTTTATTTCGTTTCTTTGCTTGTTGCAGTCCCACAGCAGGCCACTTGGATCTGCTTCTCTGGGTCCACCTTAAGCTGTGTATACACTCACACTGCACAGGAACATAAACAAACCTGCATTCTTTTCAATGGCCACCAGAAACTAAACAATTGTGCTCATTGGCTAACAATGCTCAACTAACATTTGAATTTATTTCAGTTAAATTCAGTTTTATTCATAAAGTTCCAAACAACTAATGACTAAATGCAAAAAATGAATTTCATATCTGAACACAGACATGAGAGTGAAGGTGAGTGAAGAGGAAACATGGGAATCCCCCGGCAGCCTACGTCTATTGCAGCATAACTAAGGGAGGATTCAGGGTCACCTGGTCCAGCCCTAACTATATGCTTTAGCAAAAAGGAAAGTTTGAAGCCTAATCTTTAAAGTAGAGATAGTGTCTGTCTCCTGAATCCAAACTGGAAGCTGGTTCCACAGAAGAGGGGCCTGAAAACTGAAGGCTCTACTTTTAAATACTCTAGGAACAACAAGTAGGCCTGCAGAGCGAGAGCGAAGTGCTCTGATAGGGTGATATGGTACTACAAGGTCATTAAGATAAGATGGGGCCTGATTATTTAAGACCTTGTATGTGAGGAGCAGGATTTTGAACGTGTGTTTTAGAGCCAAAAGCTCCCATCATAGGACAAGTGGGTGGATCGCTACATTAAATTAGCGAGCTCTGTACGGGTGCATTGCTCAGGCACAGATACTTTCTAATTAGTGCTCAGTAACACACTCATTTAGAACGAGACTGGAGGAAGAGAAGTTTTTGGCACTTTGGCTTCATTCCTCAGCAGTGGAGTTTGTGTTTGGGTACTCACTGTGGAAAAAACCAAAACAAAGCCTAGTGGCACAAGTGAAGGTAAAACATGCAGAACAACATGTTTGAGATGCCAACAAAGAAGAAAATTGAGTTGAGTCGGTGCAGCAGAAGCTTGTTTGTTCGATATCTGACTCCTATCACAACAGCTGCAAAGGAGCTGCAGCGCAGAAGGAACGTCAGAGCAAACAGTCATGCCTCTTGGCCCCGATTCACTGGAGGAACCTGTAAAACTGCTAAAGTCTCACAGTGTGTAGGCACCTTTAATCTGATTTCTTCAGCCCACCTGTGGTTTGTATCACCATTCAATTCTAGCAATGTACTAATCTTCAAAAATAGATCCTATCAGTCCAATTAGCCATTCAGATATAGTTTTTAAGCAGAGTCTGAATAACTGAGGCTGTCTGTGTTCACACCTTTAAAGGATTATTTTGCCCGGTGGCTTTTGGTGCACAAAGAAATATAGTCAATGAGGCCTTGGCTAGAGCCTACGCTGCCAGTGCTTATTAAAAGGATCAAAATTATACTGTCAGTCTGCCCCAGGGCAGCTGTGGCTACAACTGTAGCTGCCTCCACCAGTGTGTGATTTTTCTAATGACCAGCAGGGGGCAGCTTTTTGTGTTACAAATAAAAAGTCGGATTCTGTACACATGTATGGGATATTAGCCTGTGCTCCTGTAATCTCTGACTTCAGTAAGACGTTTTCCATGACTTTATGGTCTCACTTGCTAGTTTAAGGTCTCATTTAAGGTTTAAGGTCTCATTAGTATCAAGAAGGAGAATACAGCAGGCTATGCAATAAGATGGGCCTACTTTAACGGGACAATAGACAATAACAATTCAATTCAACTTTATTTATACAGCACCAAATCACAACAACCCTGAGCTGAGTGTCTTTGGTTTTGCCATGTCTGGTGTTTTGTGATTGGGAAGCGAGGTGAACTGGGTCACTGAGCATAGCCTGAATCATCCTCCTTTCTGATACCTTCAATGATGATAATTTATAGAATAAGCTGCGTTTTCCCGAGCCTTCAGTTCATCAGGTAAATGTTTACAGAGGTGAGGGACAGAGGGTCATTTCCCCATAGACTTTTATAGAATCTGTCTAATTTG